CATTCCCAATAAAACACAAAGGAACGCCCAGCATCCCAGATGCCTCGTTCACGAAAGCCGACGGGTGTGCTCAAGATCAAAGCGAACGCGCTTCAGAAATAAAACACAAAGAAAAGCAGAGCAACCCAATGCTTCGTCACGGAAGCCGTCGAGAAGCCGGCAGGGTTCGTCACGCCTGCGCAGTGAGGGAGTGTGATGTCACCGCCGGAGCGCCGTGTGCAAAAGGGAAGACGTGGCGCGCTGCTCGTAAGAATGCGCTGCTTGTAAAAATGCCTTTCGCATTCCTACACATAAACAATCTTAAATGTCTCTGCCGAATTTTTTTTTTTAATTTACATTTTTGTATGAGATAGAAAAACGAATTCAACAACTAAAGTCCCTCGGTAAAATTCAGGCTTACAAGTACCACCAAGCATTGTTCTGGAATCTTGCGAGACGCGTGCCACGAACGGGTGCTTCGCCGTCTTTCGCTTCCAAGGACCACTGATTTCAGTGCTGCGCCGCCATTTGCCTCCAAGTACCGCTCGAGACACGTTCCTCGTGCACTAAAGCATTTGACACTACTTGAAAGACAAACGCAAACACATTGAGGTGCTTTACATACAACGTAATGTACCTCAATTATGCAAAAAATCTTCCTGATTTTCGCCAAGAAATGTCGCGTCTGAGGGGAGGTAGAACTACGATTTCTCCGATTGCACGTAGACTCAACTGTGAGGGCCAAAGGGATAAAAAAAATTCTACAACGTAACCATTTTTATGTATTAAGCACACCAGCTGATCTCCTCGACGCAGTTAGATTTAGTTTATTTAAGTTTATATTTTAAGTGAAATAAAGTTACGAACTTGGCATCTTCCGTAACTCTTTTATATTAGGCAGTTTTCGGCGATTTTTCTTAACAGATCTAAGAATAAATTTTTAGGATGAAACTTTTCCTATATAATATTTCATGCTTTGTCATTAAAAAAAATGTCGTGCTTAACTATTGTAAGTGGTTTTTGTATTGCGCCCGGAATTTTGCAATATACCGAACAGTCAAAATTGTGAAATGTTTCTGCGGCAATTAAAAAAAAAAAAAAAGGATACGTAATCATCTTTGATTTTCTACAAATTTCCTTTAATGATCCCTTGGAAACGGGTAATTCAGAATCCGCAAAAACATCTGGCGCGCCGGCGCAACGCTGGTTCAACGACTTTACACATAGCTTTCCGCTTCTTGGTCCCTTTTTTTTTTTTTCTTTTTTTAGGCGCAGCCTGTTGTTATTGCGGCCTCGCCACGCCCGCCATCGGTTGGGGCATAAGACTCCTAACGTCTCCTGTTCATATGCTCCGTTTTACATTACGATGGACCACAGACGACGTTACAAGTCATAAAAATTAATCTAATATCGTGTGAGTATCACGTGACCTTTGAGAGATGCGCAGTGGGGCGTTGACACTTGATACGCTATATAAATTGGCTGATATAGCTCGTAACGGCCGCTAGAATCCATCGTAATTAGAAACCGAGTAGAGTAATGTCTAGAAGATAAATGAATCGAATAATTTTGTCAACTGGCTACCCACATTAATATCCAACGCTCGGAAAGTAGCGCAGCGCAGCGCTATCAACCAGCCACAACAGCCTAAGAACCGCGAATGCGCAGCAAAGTTCAGTTTTCATAAACAATATCAATCACATTACAAATTAAAAAAAAAAAAAAACTCCCAGCTTTTTTTTTTTTTTTTTAAGTGGAATGTTTTAGGTGTCTGTGAGATAATTCGACCACCTACAGTCACTGTGAATGCGGTGTTCGAGTACCACTAGTCGTTGAAGATAGAAACCCTCGAACGGTAATTGGCTGCAACATAGACCGTTTTCAAAATGCTTTTTGTTTTCCTGATTTAAAACAATATATTAATGCAAGATGGTTTTTCCGGATTTTGGATTACTCGTTTCCAAGGGTTCATCGAAGAAAATTTGAAAAAAATCGAGGACGATTTTTTTTTTTAATTGCCGCAGAAAAAATTTCACAATTTTGACTTTTTCGATATTGTCGACTTCTGGGCGCAAGGACGAAACACTGAGCGGCTAAATTTTTTTGTTAAAAGTGAACAATGCATAAATGCTCAATACAAAAAGTTTCAGCCTAAAATTTTAATTCCAAGATGTGTTAAAGTACACATGCAAAGAGTAAAAAAAATTTTTTTTAAACAGCTTATATGGGAAAAAGGTATCATAAAACGATTTTACAACAAAGAAAAACATTTTTAGAGCTATATTTGCGGCGCTATAGACCTTTCCAATATTTACAAATCCACAGCTCAGCGTGCGATCTCCACAGCTCAGCACGCGCGTGTGCGTCGCTTCGGAAAGCGAGCAAATCACCCGCGATACGCACGAACACTGAAAATGAAACCGGCCAGCAGTCCTTTTCTGGAAAGGTCTATACGAATTTGTAGTCGGCGCCCGCGAGAACCGTCGCTGGTCACGTGGCAGGCCTGTGCGCCGCCGCCCTGCGTCGCCGCCAAATGCACGCTGAGCATTGTACGACGCCGCTTCAACCCGTTTCTCCCGCCGCCGTCGCCGCCGCCGCACAAGTTCGTCTGCTTCGGGGCGCCGCCGCCGTCTTCTGACCGGCGCACAGGTCTATCACGTCTGCTTGCGCTTTTTCAGGAGTTTCCTTTGGGCTCTAAAAGTTACTTATTCATCTTAGTTTATTGTTATACTTCAAACAAGGAAGAATAAGTTACTTTTAGAGGCCATAGGAAGCTTCCGAAAGAGCGAAAGCACCACGTGATAAATTTGGGCCCGTCACGTGATAAATAAGGGCCACTTTTCCGCGGCGCCCGCGAGCGCCAACTACAAATTCGTATAGAGCCGTAAATATAGCTCTAAAAAATGTTTTCTTCGTAGTAAAATCGTTTTATGATATCCTATTTCCACCTAAGCTGTTTAAAAAAAAATAAAATGTGTTTTTCCTTTGCATGTGTCCTTTAAGAGATGGCCATGGAGACGACGTGACCGAAAACTCGACCAGTCAGAGAAAAAGTGGCGGTTATGGGTTATCGATCGCTCATCTGTTCTCACTTTCATACCAATATTCGTGGAGACTAGGGGAGGGGAGGGCATAGAGAGCGAGAGATGCGATGGCCATCGGTCTCACAAAATAATAGACGATTGCACCACTTTTACGCGTTCTCTCTATCTCTTTCTACCTCTGTCAGCACTCCTTAGATGGCCTAACCCCCCCCCCCCCCCCCCCCTTTCCCGCTTTTATGTTGACAGTTGACTGTAAAATGATGAGTAGACTCGACCACCATGCCCAGACAAGTAAACCAAAAGAAGTATCGTCCGTACCCTCGAAGACGATGCTCTTAGCCTCGCGCAGGGCACTTTTCAGGCGTGCATCGAGGGCGATCAAAGACAAAGAGAATTCGCCCCCTGGCGCGAGGCTACATCGTCTGTTACGCGAGTTCTGAAGCCGCGAATCGAGGGGGTACGGACCCGCGTTTGATGTCTGTGCAGGTGGCGGGAGACGTCGAAGAAGTTGGAAAGGGTGAAACGATGTAAAAGTGAAAAACAAATAAACACGAAGAGCTTTCTCCTGCCCGGGAGAAGAAAAACACGATGGAAGGCGACGGAGAGCCTACTCGACATTGTCTATACGTGATCTTTGTCTTTCGTATATTTGTACATGCCTTTCCCGTTTTTCTAGTGGTTCTAGTGACCGGTCATACAAAAAATCGTGTCTTCTTTTCGGCTATTCTCATCTTCCTTATGCTTTCTATTGTGTTTAACTTGCTCTCTTTGTGCCGCTGAATGTTCTGCTCGTATTGCTCCAGTTACTGTATTATGCTGATATTTTTAGAAAGTAACGAGTAATTAAAGTAATCCGCTACCAATATTTTTTTAAAGAATACATGACAAATCTTTTCCGAAAAAAAGTAGCATGGCAATTACAAAATAACTTTAAAAAGTAACGGATTACAAGTAATCTGTTGCTTTTAACGGATTACTTCCGAAGTCAGGTACAGCCTTTGTCGGTTTCTTTGGAGCCCACTTCGCGCGGCAAAACCCCTATCGAAGACAAGCTAGATAAATTTGAGTGAAAGTGTGTTGTCGTTCTCCTTGTTTGGGATCATATGTTGCTCAACGGTTTTGCCATCACAAGTTAGTTCAAGATATAACGAGCGTCTAAATAAAAGGCTTTTTTTTTAATATTGACGTGAAGTTTTGCCACATTTAGAGAAATCAGCTGCGTTTCTGAATTAATAGCCCTACTAAAATAACGGCTGTTCATATATTTTTTATTTATTCATAAAGATCATTTGGATATGCTCATTTTTATATATTTGGCGCCATTTCATGTAAAGTAGTTTTTTGCTATATAATTTCTGAATATGTCTCTAAAACACAATAAACTTTACGTGTTTCGTAGCTTTTTTTACTTTTTGCATGGAAATTGTTTGTTGTAATTTTTAATATTATGTCTACATATTATAAGCCTTTAATGAAATATGTAGGAAAAATTATTACTGCGTGCATATTTCTATATGAAACAGACGGCTGTGCAAATTACCATAGAAAAACATTGGCAATCTCTACGCTTCGAGTTTCGAAATTAGCTACGACGTTCAAATAAAGCTGAATGCTTCTCCCAAGAACATGGCTTTCACATATGTTTTTTTTTTTTCTACATAAATATAATAAAATATGATCCGAACCATCATTGTAAGATTTGACGTGGAAACCCTTGTGTTCTATTCAAGTTTCAACAAACGTCCAACGAATTTAGAGCTTTTTCACAACAAAGCGCACATACAGAACAACAGATGTTATCTTGAACATGTACTCCTGTCGCTGAACTGCGACGCTGGGAATCTCGCAATACACGAGATAGCTATAACTTTTTTTTTTTATGAACTTATTTCCGGTTTCCATGAGGCTGCTGTATATATATGCATATGCAGAGCACCCCTTCGACCGGCGCTTTCAAGCTGCGCTTCCTTTGCAGAAATGTTGGCGACAGGCTGGAAAATAACTCCGCTGTTTGTCGGGTTTTGCATGGTATTAATTTGCAAGGCCGGTGATTCTTCTCCCAGTGCGACATATGATTTATCTAAGGTGTGTATTGTCCAGTGTTTATCGATGAAAACAAATTAACATATGATTATTGATGTTTATTTATTTTTAAACGCCGGCGTATTTCGGTGAGAGTAACTGAGGTTCATTATTTTGAAGAAGCTCAATGGGCACGTCAAATGTTGATCTTATTTTTTTATACGCAGCATTAACTTTAGTTTTAGGATCGGCGAAAATACGTACCGCTTCAATCTGTTTCTTAGTTCAGTTTTTGTTATCGTAACTTGAGTAAAGCCGTACGGAATCTGCGTTTTAATGGGGAAGGGGCAGGATTTCGAGAGCATCTTCTACGCTAGAACTACCATTATGGTAGTTCTAGCGAACCGAAGACAGGGTGACACCAAACCGAACCCGTAGCCCCGGAAACCCATCCCCAGAGCCGTATATAGGGAGAGTTTGGTCAATGGGAGGCGCGGGCAGAGCCAGGGCGTGCACCAGAGTCCAGACGCAGAAAGTGGGCTTGGCATGCTTTCTTGGCCAACCAGAAGCCGAAAAGATTCCCCTAGCGGTGGTAGCGAGAAACCAATTTGGTCGTTTTAATAAGCGAAAAAAGTTAAATGTAGTAACCCTTCGTGGCTGAAAATAGGGTTCACGTGATGTTTCCATCATGATCATGCAGACAGATCTAAGAAACGAATGCGCCACTCAACTCTGTTTTGCTTGCACAGAGTGTGACCGCTCGGAAAGCAGATTCCCGGCGCTCGGCGTACGGATTATGTCGATCATTCCGCTAGTCGCACCCTTCCACCATGATTTTGGATGACCGTGATTGAAACATAACGTGCACCGCATTTTCAGTCACCAAGAGTTACTCCGATCCACTTATCAAGTTTGTTTCTCACGACCACCGCCAGGGTATTATTTCCGGCTTCTGGTTAATCACATTTGAATTTTTGAAGACGCCCTGGAACGCGCCCAGCCCGCTTTCGGCCAATGGCGCCTCCTCATTTGTCTCCTATACTTCCCAACGAATGGCCAAACTCTCTGCCCATCCCCAGGCAAAGAGGCGCGTTCTGCAAGGTTCCTGCAGGGCCCTGGACCGCACTCATGTTGACAGTGTCTTCCAAGAACTACAGTGACCTCTGAATAGGCACTGCAAGACTGCAGGATCCACGAGATAACACGCTTGACGAACCTCTGCGAGAGAGGAGTTTCGAAGAAAATAGTAGTCACTAAGGCGGAACCATTCAACGGCTGGTGTTTTTCGCTTTTAATCAGGGCAGAAATATTCAAGCACCGGTGTGTTCCGGTTTTAACCGATTTTGTATTTTCGTCACCGGCAGATGTTTATCGGTGTTTTTCGCCTAAAACCGGAAAATGCGGAGCCTAGATATATCTGCGGTAAGGTTATGTTTACTGTTTTAGTACATTCTAATTTGTTGCACTTAAATGCCGACCAACAAGCAGAAAGAAGGAAACCCTCCCTCAATTTACTCTTTTCGTTCGAGAGCGAGGGAGATCCTGTTTCTTTCTGCGGTGAGCCCATCCCCAGGCAGAGATCATCCCCAGGCGGAGACCAACACCTCTTAAAAACTAGGGCCGTAGCGCACCGAGTCGTGACGTCACAGCGGCCGGAGAAGGGAGGCCACGTCGAGAAGAGGCGCCCACTCTGGTTCTCTTTACCCTGGCTGCGTCGTCTGCTCCCTCGGGTCACGTGGTTTGTTAGTACGCGTTTATCCGACAGTAACATACGTTTTAGAAGCGCAGTCTTGTATTATTTATTATATATATATTATAAACGTAATATACAACGCGTTACCAAGGTTGAAAGTACCAAATTTATATTTATGATTATCCCCGTAACCGCGGGACCACTGCAGTCCCGCAGTTCTCTAGACTTTTCGAATGAACGGGCTCGGTGCAACGTTTTCTTCCCTCATACGGGCTCCGATTTTGGTAAATTTACGTTGTGAGTGAGCTGCTGACTGACTGAAGAGGAACGCTGAGAGATTTCAGAAGGGAAGGGAACCGGAAAAAAAATCCAGTCATCGCCGCAGGGAGCGCACACGAGCAAGAGATGGGTCGACAACGTTAAGCCTTCGTCCCGCACTGGTGCCACTGCTCTCGTGTGGGGTTCTTTTGATCCTTCTTCACGTCGTTTTATTGTCGTCACCGCAGTCTCGGGTAGATTTTTTTTTTTGTTTGTGTGTTCGTTTGATATACTATGGCATTTACGCGGATTCACGGAACAAGTCCTGCTACGGTGTAAGTGACATGTGTGGCAACTAGTCAACTATGACACTGGTCGATTATCGATAGACCTCTCTCTCGACGAAGAGAGAGATTTCTTGAAGTTCGTGCTCAAATGTTTTCGTGACGAATATTGCGGGACGTATGGATACGATCGACAGGTGAGAAACAACTTATTTGCTGGCTTCCTTGGTCATGTAAGACGTAAATAGAGTGCTACGGTCTTTTTTCTTTTTTAAATCTTGTGATAGAACGGAATCTCGTTCTACGTCGTTACCTCTGTGCAGTTGCGTTGAGATTTGTAAATATGCGTGGTAATATTCTAGTTTTCACTGGAAAGTGAATAACAATTTTGTGTGATTATTGAAAGTGCGTTGTTTGTGCTGATGTGTTTATTTATACTAATGTTATTTTATTCCCTTTACCGCGTTTATACTATAATCTTGACTGTAATAATGTAATAGTATTATTGTATACAAAATAAGTTATATTTTATTCTGACGCAGCTCGAGCCCATAGGGAGAATATTAGTTGATTGTAAATAATCAGTTTAGTACCCCTGCGACACGGAAAAGTTAATATATTTTCATTAAATGATATGGGATTTAATCAGATCGCCGTCTTGAGTGATTATACGAGCGTCACAACCTAATTTGTCGACCTCATATGTCATTCTATTGAAATTACATTAATTTTGCCACGTGGCCGGGGTATACTGCAAGAATTCAGTGACTGCACGCGATAACATCGCTTACATAATCGTAAAGGAAACTTGTGTTGCCTTGTCCGCGTTGACTACGCCTACTTGGTTTTTAATTGCGATCTGTTTTGCTGTGTCCAATCACTGCGTGTCTGGCCATTTTGTCGAAGTATTTCTATATAAAATATGCATTTCTACAGCAATAATTGCGTGACTCAATGTTTTTTTACTTAAAACAATCACATTTTTCTATAGACGTCTTATACGCATACCTCGTGCCATTTTGTATCGATTATTTAGCGGTGTAATATTTTGCCCGTGTAATCAAATGTTTTATAGCCCCGTTAATACGTGCACGTTTCATTTTAGCTAATAAGACACGCGTATGTGATTAAAAGCACGTTACGACGGTCGATCCACGCGTGTTGCCTTCGCTTCGACGCGCGCCCCCGATGGCCTTCCTTTGCAACGTCACGAGAAGAGCACTACGGCCTTGTCTTCTAGGAGGTGTTGCGGAGACCCGCTCCTGTAGGGAAAGGAGGAGAGAAGACGGTGAGAAGGAAGTGAGAGAAGGAAACTGGGAACCGGTTTTCTGCCCGGCAGAGGGCGATTCTAATTAAAGGCAGTATACCATATTTAACTACCCAAATTGAACATATTTCTGGAATACTCAGGCCTTACTACTATCGGCATGCTCTTCGTTATCTCTGATTTCAAAATAGCTATTGTGAAAGCGGATGATTAAGGTGATGCAAAAACCACCGTTGAAATTTCCCGCGTTTTCCAGGGTGACGCAATATCACATAGAACACAAGTCCTGCGCGTTTAATACTCTAAACGTCCCATCGCCTGCTTCAGTGGTCATGCTCGAAATGAGCTTCCATTAATAGGCTGCTAAGACAATACCACCTAGAAGACAAGGCCTGCGCGTTTCCTAGTCTAAATTTCCCATCCCCTGCTTCAGTGGTCGTGCTCAAAATAAGCTCCCATTAATAGGCTGTAAGCCAATACCAGCTAGAAGACAAGACCTGCGCGTTTCTTCCTCTAAACGTCTCATCGGCTGCTTCAGTGGTCATGCTCAAAATGAGCTCCAATTAATAGGCTGTTAAGGCAGTACAACCTAGAAGACAAGGCCTGTGCGTTTCCTCCTCCAAACGTCCCAGCGCCTGCTTCACTGGTCATGCTAAAAATGAGCTTTCATAATAGGCTGCTAAGACAATACTACTTAGAATACAAGGCCTGCACGTTTCCTCCTCCAAACGTCCCCTCGCCTGCTTCAGTGGTCATGCTCAAAATGAGCTCACATTAATAGGCTGCTAAGACAATACTACTTAGAAGACAAGGCCTGCGCGTTTCCTCCTCTAAACGTCATCACTAGTAGCTGCCCCCAGCGACCCCTAGTTGTGACGTGGCCCATACTCTCGCTAAGCTTCAACCTGTTGGGCGCTTGGGGCGTGTCGGGAATCTACTAACGAAGCTTCACACGCAGGCCTTGTCTTCTAACTGTTATTTGGTGACGTCACATGCTGTTTAATTTGCAAGTTGAGCAGGCAGTCTATAAAACAGTAGTTCGCACATGTTTTTTTTATTTTTCTGGCGTGAACTTAACAAGAGTTTATTTCCCTGCATCGTACTTTTTGTAACCCGTGGTGAACACGTAAAATGCACCCATATTGCAGCCTCTGAGACCAAGTTTAGAACTTCACTTAAGTTGCGCGAAAAGAAAAAAAAAAAAAAAACCTGTTGTGACTGGCAATGTGAGTTACTAGTTCAGATGTGTCTATTAATCTGTTAAGCAATTTTGAGACAAATCAGTGACTAGCCAAGATTGATTGATTGGCATATTTTATTTTGACACCACTGTCAGGGCGACTGGGACAAAAGGTGAAGACCGTAAGGTGCTTGTCCAGATAGGGACAAGACGAGGCGGCAGTCGAACCCAGGAATGATCCCTGTGCTCTCCAACGCCGTTTTTTATTTTTTTTTATTGAGACAAAGCATTGAAGATACACGTTTTGAAACGTAATCTGAGGTGCCGTAAAACGTTTAATGGCCGAAAAATTAACCCGCTCAAAGAATGTACTCTCGAGCTTTATTTTTGTTCTCTTGATTGAGAAAAAAAAAAAAAAAAAAACACGGGGACATTGTTTTTTTTTAATTTTTTATTTGTATAAAGTCAAAACATAATCACGAAACCACTTTTAATCCTGCCAATTATGTGCTTTGATAAGATCAGTAAATTTGTGTTTCTTTTCACAGCTTTTACAACGTGCCACAAGCTATTTCCTCTACGAAGGTACATTTACGGAAGATAAAATCCTACCGGGAAAACCTCTACCTATATGCGGAAGATGGTTCATAGTAACTAGTGATCTATACGCGAAGAGGCTGTATGAACCTAGCGAAGAAGAGTATGCGTGAGTTTCTCAAAATCATTACCTCTTTTAACTAGATGCGATTAAATATGGGATGCAAACCATTTTAGACGGAGGTTGGCAATATACGCATGGCTCCACCTATACGTCTCATTACCACCTACCCTTTTTCACACAAAACTGCCACACACAGGGTGGTGTGTCGCTTATTGTCTAGATTATTCTATTGCAGCTTAATGCAATAGAATAATCTAGACAATAAGAAAAAAGCTAGCTTCAATTTGATGACAAAAACCGGGGGGCACAAAATCTGTTGAGCACGCACAAAGTGTGTGATATTTATGATAGCGCTGGAGAAAGTTCAAACCGTCGGTCATTAGGAATGACCCTGTGCGGTGTCTGTGCGTGATGGGGAGAGGGGTTGACGTAAGCGCGGTGCTATAGAGCAACCAAACATTTCATAGTGTATGGTAGCTCCACACACTCTGCGTCCCCCGGGGTTTCGCAGCGTGATCAAGCTAGTGTACACCCGCCGGCAATATGAAGGTGAACGCCTTACCTGGTTTCTTGCCTGTTTTACGGCTCCCTAAAGCTGTATTAACTCTCAGCGTCTCAAATGGTACGTGGCTTGGGGGTCTAAACTTTGCGTTCTAGCCCTCTTCTGGAACAGAGCTTGTTTCAAAACTTGCAGGAGCGTCCAAAACAACAAGAGGGCTGTTCACCTTCATATCGCCTCACGGGTGATTTTTGACCGTTTGGTAATAAATAACTTTTGTAATAATATGAGGAGTCCACCAATTTATTTAAAATAAATGTATATGTAACTGTAAGTTGCCCTAAATAATATTGTTTGTTAATTGCGTTACGCGTCTTTAATCAAACCTGTCAAACATGGCACCTTGTTGCAAACATGGCACAAGTTGAGTAAAAGGAGAGACTAACAGGTAATTTATTTCAGAGGCCCTAGCAATCTACATATTTATTGTTGCTGTTTGCGTAATGTCTCATATGCTTTAAATGCAGTTGTTGCTTCGTTGTGGGCGTTCTTCGCTGTGTTGCCTGTTTCCGGGAAACTAACTTAAACATACAAAGCCAAGTTTGATATCTCAATAAAAAAAAGGTGCTCTCCTACTATGCTACAATATTTAGTTCATTGTAACACTCGTCTTTTTTATTATTATTATAGGGTCGAGAAAAAGGTTCAACTAGTACTTGAAGGAACGCCAGGATCTTCTGTGAAAAGCTCGATGAAAGTTAATCATTATGATGGACCAAAAAGTAAGCCATGGCATGTTCTACTATAGGCTGATAAGTTTAGGTGTAGATAACAAACGACTACATATATATATATAATGGGAATGAGTGAAGATTGACAAGTGCAGCCGTAGTAATATATATATATTGGCTGCACTAGTATATATATATATATATATAGAGAGAGAGAGAGAGGGTGTCCCAGATGGCTTGCATTAAACTTTACAAAAAAAAAAAAAAAGAACGCAGCGCTCTGCGAGAGTGAACCCACGTGTATGTTGTTAGGAAGCGTTTTGGGAAACTGCACAATATTGTTAATGGGCCTAGTTATTTAGTTAATTAGCTATTTTAAATTACTTGTTAAATACCCGGTTTGTGCATTGGAAAGTTGTAGAGCTCATTGAGTTAAACAACCAATTAAGGTGTTTCCTTTATGATACACTTTGCGCGTTTCTTTTTATTAACCTAAAGAAAAAGCCCACGAAATATATATAAAAAAAAAAAAGATACACGTGACAACGCGCCCGTGCGTAGCGCTTGCAACGCTCTCAGACGTGTTCTGAAGGAACGAAGTCCACCTTATCGCTGGCGCGCTTTCCGAGACAGAGCTTCGTGTTGGGGTTAGTCCCCGTAGATAATAATAATAATAATGTTTATTTCCATCAAGCACAAGTACATGATGGAAGGGGACTGAGGAAAAAAGCTGCATTTGTGCAGCTTGACGAGTCCTAGCTGAGCCCCCTCCCCAATTGGCAACAACGGAAGGTCACAAAAGATATGCATCACTTTGTAAACAAAAAAACAAAACAAAAACAAAACACAAAAAAAACGCAGGTCAGTAAATCAATGTACAACATTTCAATGTAGCAGATAAATTAGCACTGCTAAACAAACGGTTTATGTGCAAATTTAAGGGTTCAAGATATTCAAGACAATCAAGATTCAAGATATATAGCACGAGTATGTAATACTATACTCATCCACTAAATTCATTCGAAACAAATATAAATGTAACATATAAATGAGGACATTCAGTGGAATATTCACTTGCTATGCAATTCACTCTACAAGAAAGAAAAATTCTCTGATATATTTTACTGTTGATGTTAAAGGATCAATATGATGAGTATTAAGGTAATTAAGTAGGGTCGGAAGCACGTTGGATAGCATTTGCTCACCATAGGTTGTTCTGCAACCGGGGACTTTCCAGTTGTCTAGGCTACGAGTGGGATATGTTGTCAATTTCAGCGATAAGGACGCTAGTTCACTAAGATTGATAGCATTATTTTTTATTTCAGACCTATAACTTAGACATAACCGATATTTATAGATATTGTAAATATGCATTAAATTTAACTTAGTGAACAGAGGTTTACTGGGGTAATCGTATGAAACAGTAGATATTATTCGCAGCATCTTTTTTTGTAGCATACGTATCTTGTCCAAATTCGCCATTGTATTTCCCCAGACGAGGTGACAGTAATGTATATGTGAAAGAAATAACGAGTTAAAGATTAACAATTTAGCATTTTTTGGAAAAATAGAGCGGTGACGATACATTATGCCAATCACATGTGACAGTTTTATCAAGATATGGTTTACATTTTCATCCCAAGTCATATGTTGCGTGAAAACAACTCCAAGAGTTTTAAAACTGGTCAAAACTTCTATTTTTCTTGAATTTAAAACGATATCTCTTGTAATAGCTGCATTTTTATTTTTCGGTTTAAACAAAATAGCCTTAGTCTTGTTCACGTTGATCTTTAAAGCGTTAGCTTGGCTCCAACTACTAAACTTCTGCAGAGTTTGATTCGCCTTATGTGCTAAGTCATCACAGCAAACACCTGTGAAAAACAAACTTGTATCGTCAGCATAGATGATATATTTGGTATTTTTATCTACGTTCGCGATGTCATTAATATATAAATTGAACAAAAAAGGGCCTAAAATACTGCCTTGTGGAACGCCAGATATGATATAGGTTGGATATCTGAGGAGTACCCGTTGATATGAACATATTGTTTACGATGAGCAAGATATGATGAAATGATAGCTGACGCTGGTCCGCGAAATCCGTACCTTTCAAGTTTTTTTTTATCATCAAGTCATGGTTTAAATAATCAAAGGCTTTCGTAAAATCAACGAAAATACCAAGAGTCATCTGTTTATCCTCAAAGCTACGCAAAATTCATTCCTTTTGTTCCAGAAGGGCCAGCTCTGTAGACCGGCCTTTACGAAATCCGTATTGCGATGAGGTGATTATATTATTTTTGTCCGCAAATGTTACCATAAGGGACAACAAAAGTTTTTCAAAACCCTTCGAAAAAACAGATAAAATTTAAATAGGCCTATAATTCCCGAAATCGTTTTTGTCACCCTTTTTGTACAAAACCGTTACCCTTGCGATTTGTATTCTCTGCGGGAAAACCCCGGCCTGCAAGCACAAATTAAAAATATACGTCATACAGGGAGATATGATGTCCAACACGTATTTTATTGGCCCTATTTGCATAAGCGCGAGCACCTCCTGCCGCAAAGCCCTGTCTCGGGCAGAGCGCCAGCGATAGGGCAGACTTCGTTCCTTCAGAACTCGTCTGACAGCGCTGCAAGCGCAATGCGCCGGCGCGTTGTCACGTGTATCTTTTTTTAATGTTCCGTGGACTTTCTTTTTAGGCTAATAAAAAGAAGCGCGCAATGTGTATCATGCAGGAAACGACTTAATTGAGTGCTTCCCAATGCGCTCTAGAACCTTCCAATTCCCACCTAGCTCTTAAACGAATAACTTAAAAAATTAGCTAATTAGTCTTAATTCACTAAATAACTGGGCGCACTAAATCAATTGTGCGTTTCCCAAAACCATTCCTAACAGCACAGAGTTTCTTTCACTCTCGCAGAGCATTCCGTTTGTTTGTAAAATATGGGGCTAGTTACCTGGGACACCATGTATGCAGGGGCAAATCCAGAGCTCCATTTTTTTTTTTTTTTTTTTTGGGGGGGGGGGGCGGAAAATTTGTAAGGAAATTTGTAAGTTTTGTAAGTATCTCCCTTTTTTTGTTGTGCGCCGGGGGGTGCACCAATGGCAAATTGCCCTCCGAGAGGGGGGGAGGGGGGGGGGCCGCCCCAGTCGCCCTTCCTCCCCCCCTTGAATCCGCCACTGCATGTATGTACATACACCGGGTTTTCTTTCTTTTTTTTTTTTACTTAACAGTTTTGTTTAAAAAAAGCCGCGAATGTTACACTTGTGCCGTTGGTTCAATTGAGTTATACGGCCAGGGGGACATAGTATAGGGGGCTAATCGTAACGACCAGTTGGCTAATTAAGTAAAATTTGTTAATTTTTAGTTAATGAAAATAGACACATGGTTCCAATTAGAAACTTGCTGAACGTCATCAAAAACCACTAAATCAGTCATTTTTAGAAAAACTTTGAGCGCGTGAGAAGCGTAGTAGTGCACTAAAGTTACCACTCGTGAAGAGCCTTACCGCAATCGCAAGAGCGGTTGCGGTAAGGCGCCCGCGCGATTTTTCCGTCTCTTATCTAGCCCCTGCCTTGTACCTGCTCCACAAGTGGTAACTTTAGTACTCTACTACGCTTCTCACGCGCTCAAAGTCTTTCTGAAAATTACTGATTTAGTGCTCTTCGATGACGCTGAGCAAGTATCTAATTGGAACTATATGTCTATTTTCATTAATTACGAAGTTAATTAAATAATTTTTATTAATTAGCCGACTCATCATTACGATTAGCCCCTATACTATGTCCCCCTGGCCATATTACTCACGTACACAAACCGCATAAGTGTAACTTTCACGGCTTTTTCAAATAAATATGTTAAGGAAAAAAAAACCCTGTATATATATAATACTGTTTTAGTCATTTTTCTTTTAAACGGTAAAAAAGTTTGGTGCTTTACAATAAACTCTGTAGCTGTCAAAAAGTGCCTCAAAATTTTAGATTAAAGCATAGTTGTACAGTAAATTTAGTATTGTCTTGTGCACTATAACTAGGGTTCTGCGTTTTCGGTTTCTATTTTTTCAAAATTCGGCGTACTTTTTTCGGTGTTTATTTTAAAATTAAATTTTCGGTTTCTTTCGGCGTATATTTATGCCCACAAAAGTTTATCGGCTATTCTCGGTGGATATCAAAGAAACACCAGCGGACACCGGATCAGATGATCCCTGTTGCTCTGATATTTGTGATTACTGAAAGTATAGTGGCACAGATACGTTGAAAAAGAAATGGACACTTTATTTGGAAAATGTGGGCAACTGTAAAAGAAACAAGAAAAACTTGAGAAGCACAAACAAGTCAGATATGAAGCCTATGCGCAAATAACATGAAACTTCACTTTCTGTAGATCAGGATTACGTTATCTTATTATATTTACACACATATGTACGTTCCCAGGTTCTCCTCGTTGATCCGCACTCTTTCTTTCCTGTTAATATGGCCCTGAGCTTTGAGAATGCCCTCTCAACACTAATACTGGACACTGGCAGGCTGAGGATATGAAGCGCTGCCTGAGCCAAAATCGGCCAATCAACCAATTGTGACCGCCAAACGAGAGACGGTGCGACTTTTTGAAGCTCAACACAACACGCAAAGCTTGCATCAAGTCAGTGTTCCTTACGACGAGTTTGAAAACACGCTCGTACATGACGAAGTTATGGGGCATTTCGGACTTCACGTTCCGATCGATGATGCACAGATTAAACCAGAACGTCGTGATGGCACCCGTGTATCCCATGCATTGGGACACGTTTCGATAAATACTGTCGTTCCACTTTTTTCGCCACGGCTCTGCGGTACGATTGGAAGGTCAAAGTGACCTTTTCCGGTTAAAACTGAATTTTAGAAAATAGATTCGACGTACTTTTATCGCTTTTTATCGATTAAAATAAAAGATGCCGCACCTAAAAACTGACCTTTTTCGGTTAAAACCGAATTTCCGAAAATGGATTCGGCGTACTTTTATCGGTTTTTATCGGTTTAAACCGAAAACTCCGAACCCTAACTATAACTTGTCGAATTGTAGGTTTTTGCTTAAATGTGAAAATAATTTGGAAGCTAATAAAACACTAACCGCGGCATAATATGAGTGGTCATTGCACATTGTAACAATCTAGTAACTATGTGCACGAGCATCTATGTGACGTGGTACCTATTGAGAACTACGACTGTTACTGGATGATGCTGGTCGTGTCTCTCATTCGCGTCTGATATATGGCGCAGTCGATATCGAACGCCGAAGGTTCTCAAGGAACCTACTCCCGTGTGTTATGGAAGATGGACAGTCTGAAACCACCGCCAAAACTACGTCTCACGGGGAACTTAGAAGGAAACTGGAGGAGATTCAGACAGCAGAGTTGCTGCATCCACAAGCAGCAAGAAAAAAAAAAAAACTGAGGAAGAGCGAGACAGAGATTTCTCGCGCCAGGACAGTCAACAGCTAGGAACGACAGAGTCACGAGCTCTTCGAACCGAACAATCACTGCGAGAGCAGCTGAACGCTACACTGCAGTATCCCGGCAGGGACTCCATCGGATAGGGGGGATCGGTGGTTGAGTGGGCTAAAGCGCACACCCAGCTCGACGCGCGTGGAGCGAAAGCTCGCGCTGCAGAACCCAGGGATCCTGGGTTCGAGCCCCACCCCTGCCCGTTTCGATCTGGATGAGCATCGTACCGGCGTGCGGTCGTGTATCGCTACTGCGTGGTGCACGTTAAAGACCCCAGGCTAGCGGTTGTACTGCACTGGCTAAATTTCTCATCTACAGCTGGGAGACTCGTCGCAACTTTAATGGCAGACCAACTACACGCTGTATAAATATCCCCACAACCCCAATTATTATTACTCCATCGGATGACTTTGACATCTTGCATGCAAGCGTCTGCTCACGAAAGAGTCACCAAGATCAAGAAGCGGCACCGCAGACCTTCAAGGTATGAAGGGCTCTCCTGACCTAAAATAAACACATCATATCATATATATCGCATCCGTGGTCCAAGGCTCCGGATCGCGTTCAGCCGTCAGGCTAATAAGGTGGACACCGGAACCCAGGCGAACCTGATTTCGTATTCGCTTTACCAGAAACTCTTTCGAACGAACAAGCTTCGCCCAATGCGCACGACATTACGAAACTACGACGGAGGCGTTATAAAACAGCTGGAACAAAAATCGGAAAAGATTTTGTTGGGAAAAATTGGCGCCAAACTCTAGGGCTACAATCATCGGAGGCCTTCGGACTGGTTACGCGCGTGGTAGGAGTGGAAATTGAGAACAACTACGTACCCCAAGAATTCGCTAGCGTCCTCTCAGGTACTGGTTGCGTGGGCCGCCGCTACCACATGGTCCTTCAAGAAAATGATCAACCGAGCGTGCAGCCGGTCAAGTGTGTACCTCTAGCCTTACGCGAACCTCTAAAGGACAAACTTCAAAGGATGGTAAAACACGGCATCAGATTGGGTAAGTCTGTTGGTTATAAGAAAGAAAAGAAAGAAGGAACTTTAAGGGTATGCCTAACCCCTCGACGCGCTAATGCACAGTTGAAAAGAGAACATTATCAATTGCGTCGAAAGAAGGATATTGAGGACGAGCTAGCAGGAGCTCAATTTTTCACAACATTAGATGTGAAGGTAGGGTTACACAAAATTCCCTTGAATGAGGATACGTAAAATGTATGTACGTTCGGAACACCATTTGGAAGGTACACATTTTCTAAGACTACTCTTTTGCATTGCATCCGCACAGGAGGGTATCGAGCTTAATCCGAGCCTTTTCAGCAGTCTAACTTTTATGACCGCACGTGAAGACAAAACAGCAGTCCTGCGCCTGCTGGGAGCAATAAACTATTTTGGTAAATATGTACCCAGCCTAACTCAGAAAACAACAACTTAAGAAGCTTAAAAAGACCATATTTACTTTTCAAATGGCTGCCACTTCATCAAAAAAATGAAAGACGTTTATAATCCCCTGTAACGCCGAATTAATGCGCAGCTCTTGAGGAGGAGGGGAATTAAGGTACGGAGAGGAGGGTATGCCCCTCCTCCTTATGAGAAAGTCAATGCAGTCATTCTGCCAGGGTTGAACAAATCTTCATTAATAGCGCAACATCCGTCAACTGTGCTTGAGGTCAATACCATTTGAAACCAATCTGAGCTCTTTGCGACGCCTAAAAAATACTGCCCAGGCCACAGTTTCCTCTAGAAGAACACAAAGATTTCCACCAAAACCACTTTCGCCAGTAACAACTAAAAACAAAATATCTAACCTTGAGTCGCATGTATTGGCGTGGAGCGGTCTACCGCTAAACGTACGGCTTCATGCGTATTCGCATCGAAAAAAAGAATTGAAAGTGTCCTCAGAGATGGAAAGCATGACGGCCTAGTCCTTTGTCCATGTTGGGTAACCGGAAGTCACAAAACAATAAAGTTTCCGTATCGCACTTAGCGGCAGAGCGTTCATGCCCTGGGAATGCTGAGAAACCGAAACTCAAAATACTTGACGCTGCCAAGATGGCCGCGTGCACAGTGCTGCCAGACCACCAGGCAGTTTTGCATATCGTCTACTGCATACTCGTCAAGGGTTTTAACAGAAGTCGAATCGCGCTATTCTCAAATAGAAAAAAAAGAGGGATTGGGAATAGTAGTTGGCTGTGAAACAATCCACCAGTTTGTCTATCGTATGAAAATAACGATCGAAACTGGTCGCCAGCCACTCATAGCTCTCTGTAAGAAATCCATAGGCGAGATGCCACCAAGTTTCAGAGATTTGTTATTCGTGTTCTAAAATACAATTTTACAGTGCAGTTCTCTTCAGGCAAGAAACTGTTAGTGGCTAATATGCTGTCAAGAGCACCCGTCAATAAAGGGTCGAAAAACGCCACTGCTGATGTCGCGGTTCATGCAACCAGTGTTCTGTGTGACTTAGTGTTAGCAGCGACTCTGACAAGGTTGTCCAAGGAAACCGCAAAAGATACACTATTGCAACAGGTAATTAAGGTAATTACCAAGAACCTGCCTGTCGAAAAAGTTTTCAAGTCATTTGAGTCGGATCTAACAGTAATAGAAGGAATTGTCTTCAAAGGAAATATAGTGGTATAGTACCACAAAGGCTTGCGTGTAGAAATGCTAACACGTTTGCATGACAGACATCAAGGAATGACAAAATGTAAAGCTAAAGTACGCACTTATCTTTTGGCCTGGGCTAACTTGCTCGACTTGCCAACGCCAAGATGCTCAACTTGCCAAGATGCTCAACTTGCTAACGCTATGCTTACGCACGAGAGCGTGAACCTTTTATGATGCGAGAAAACTTAGAACTTCAGCAGAGTCGTGTGGAAAGTTTATTTGAGTTTGCAGGAAAGTCGTATTCAATTGCATTTGATGCTTACTCCAATTATCCTGAAGTTGTAAAATGAGAAGACCTGACAGCCACGAAGTTTATTGAGAAACTTAAAGTTATATTCGCAAGATACAGCATACCGATGGTAGTCGCTTCTGACAATTATCCGAAGTTCTCTTCACACAAATTCAAAGCATTTGCGTCCTTCTATGAATTCGAACACAAAACTTCCAGTCCCAGATTCCCACGCTCAAATGGTCTAGCTGAAAAGGGTGTTCAAATTGTAAAGCGTATTTTTAAGAAAGCCAATAGCATCAATGAGAATGCAGGGATTGGTGTTCCACGTGCCATACGCATTCTGCATTCTCCTTGATGTTTGGGTAATATCGCAATAGGTCTATTCAGCTGGTAAAGAGAAGTGGCTAGGGCCCCTTCTATATGATGGATCGACACCTCTTGAGAATGGTCGCTCGCCGAGCGAACTATTTATGAATAGAAATTTAAGATGCGGGTTGCCCAACTTCTCTTGTATGGAAAAACACGTTATAAAGAAACATAAATTTAAGATGCGGATTGTCCAACTTCTCTTGTATGGAAAAAACACGTTATAAAGAAACATAAACAGCTAAGCAGCGGAACTCCTCTGAGTGAACATCACCATGGTGACATTGTAAGGATTAAGAATGCTGGAACTTGGGAGCCAAAAGCAAAGGTTGCACCGCGTTCTTTTGAAGTCTTACCTGAAAACAATCCTATATATCGTAGGAACAGGCAGCATCCCCGACGGACACAAGAGACGTTCCAACTAGATACTGACGCCACGGACAGCGAAATGGAAGACTTTCCCGATTCGAACACGGAGCAACACGCATTTTGCCAGCCCGACACCGCCAGTACAGCACCTGGAGGCTGGAGTTGCTAGTGCCACATCCGGCTCACAAGATGTCCCGCTAAAAAGAATTTCAAGACAACGCAGACCGCAAACCAAACTGGTGTACGACGAAAACTTTGAACAGAGTGTCTAACTTATTTGCTTTGCTTTGTCTCGACGTGTGTAGTGCGTGTTTTCTTTACCGTTTTGGTTGTGTTTTATCATTAGTTTCTTGTATATCAGTTTTTTTTCTTTTTCAAGAAAGGAAGACGCACCATGTAGAAGTCTGGCAACCATGTGTACCTGTATCTATAGTGACGTGGCACCGATAAAGATCAGAACTACGGTTTGACTTGTTGGTCGTGTCTCCTCTTCGCGTCTGATACAGTTATGCGCACCTTAAATTGTTAATTTTTACATGCCCCACACTTCAGTTTCTATTTTTAGTTCCTTAATGTGTACGGGTTTATTTTATGGGGGTCACATCAAACGACTCTACTGTACACTGCTTCTTTCGTTCCTTTGACCCGTGAAAAATCATCTCTCGGCTCGAGCTTTTAGCTTTTGCAGGTGGTACGCTGTCAGCATGACGTGTTGCTTGGATTTTGTTAGTGATTGCGTATGCCGGCATAAATTGCATTGTAAAGCGGTACCTCGCTAATTACGATGAGACACCTCAATTAGTCTTCTTTCTGCGCTCATCAATTCGTCATGTGCTGATGCTATCGTTTCTAGAGGGACAAACGATAGTGACCATGGATTTGAAGTACACGGACTACAAAAACTGCGCTCTGTTGTACTACAGGGGCTCAGGTAAATCAATGCACTTTACTATGATAGTCAGTGTCTGAATAGAATTTTCAACATAACACATAATTTTATGTTTTAACATTACAGGTTTTGACATAATTAATATAAAAAAAAGTCTGCGTATTGTGGTGCTTCGCTGGGGATTACGTCGAAATGCGAAAGCATTCCGACGTTTCTTCTGTGAAGACACCGCTACGTCGATTAAATTGAAACCAACCTCGTTCACTAACTCGGCTCTCGGTCGTAGCAGAACTAGCCCACCTTGCTTCTTTGTCCCCAGCCTAACGCTATCGTCTCTGTTCCGGCGCCTCATTGGCACAACGAACCTCAGTGGGCCACCGCTTCTGTTCAGACCCCTTCTTTCTCTTGCAAGCATTGTGAAAAACCAGAGCGATACCAGCAAGAATATTACTTCAATCATAGACCCCCTTCGAAACTGTGCAGTTTAGTTGCCGTGAAACCCCTGCACAATTGCAGACACGAGCGCGAGCTCCTTGCAGTTGCGTTCAATCACTGATCTCTCATGGAGATCAGTGCGTTCAATGGGCAATGTGCAAAATAGCAACGCCCCTAGCAGTTCAGGTCCACTCTGGAATCTGTCTGCAATCGTCTACGCACCGCGATTACTCACGTCATCGTGGATTGCTCTACACTTACGTGCGATGCACTCACAAGTACCCGTTTCTTCTCGTCGCTACAGATCAGACACAGCGAATAACGAAACAATTACGATTTCGCTGGCGCGGGGAGCGGGCGAAAACGCCGCAACGGCGAAGTTTAACGGAGATCGACGTAAGCCGATCGCCGTGCCATCACACTGCGTGCATTTGTCTGTAACATGGAGAACAGCAACTGAGACTAGTGCTCCAGCTTTATAACACGCTTGTTCCCGTGGTCAATTTTTCACAGCGACGTAGCAAGAGGTGCATGTTTGCGCTTGAACGCTTTGTCGTACAGCGAGTTTCGTCGTGTATCGCATTAGCCTGATTAAAAATAGCGATCGGCGGAGCATGCATGTGTTAAAACTGGAGTACTAGTCTCAGTGTCTGTTCCCGAGGTTGCAAACAAATGCACGCAGTAAGCTGGCGCGCCATTCGGCGTACGCTTTCACTTGACACCGCCGTTGGAATGCTTTCGCTCAGTCCCAGTGCCCGCAAAATCGCAATTGTTTCGTTATTCGCTGTGCTGCGTCTCATGTGTAGCCGCTGTAGCGCGTAAGTGTGGAGCAATCCACGACGACATGAGCTCCGCCATGGAGCGGAGACGACAGAAGACGACAGATGCACAACCTGGCGTAACCGAAACATAAACTTTACGTCGACAGCTCCTACTCCAACGGTGGACCTGAACCGCTAATGGCGCTGCTATTTTGCACATTGCGCAATGACGATCCCCTGTGCAGCAGGAAGACTCGCTTGCGCACTCTTTGGTGTCGGTGGGCGATAACAATGTAATTGCATTGCACAACCATCGCTTTACAAGTTACGCCCTTGACGACTGGTTGAGCGTCGGGCTCACAAGCTTGGGATCCTGAGTTCGATTTTTCTTTTGGGCACTCGCATATCGACAAATCGGCTCGCCATCTCGGCTCTGTGCGTGCCCATCAACGTACGCTGGTTCGCCCATTCATACCGAACGTCTTTCACATGCCCGTAAAACAGGGGCATTTTTTTTTTAAATGAGATGAGTTCAGTTTATTTTTCAACGAACATAGAAATTTTTATATCATATTGTCATTTAAACCTCGCAGCTCATAATAACCGAAATAATCACACTTCTTATCGTCGTTTCTTTTTCAGGTAATGGCCATAAAAATAGAGTAAATGATTGCAAATGCACATTTATACGGATACTGATTCCTTTTCGGAGCTACTTTCCGTTTTAAGAAGGGCAAATCTGGGAACCGTTAAAATGTTTTAAAAATGCATTTTCTGAGATCGGTATATGCAAGGCATATACCGATCTCAGTCAGCTGCCTGTCATGCCCTTATTTAAAATATTTTTTTATTATTTATTTCAGGTGACTATGAAGTATGGAACTATGCACTGAATCTCAAAAATAATACAGAATGCCATAAAAAACTCGCCGAACTACCCGGAAAAGATTTGACCGTATACTACAGGGACTGGTGCTACGCTGGTCTTCAAGGCTAAATTGAAATCTAAAAATACTACATAACGCATCTTCCGGTGCCTTTTCTGAGATCAGTTTGTCCTGCTTAGACGTCCATGTTTACGCGTCATCTAAAGCAATAAACCTAAATTTAATCGCGTTTTTTAGCCGACTGATCACTCCAAACTTCTCATCTTTCTTCGTTAATTATTTTCACGTACGCACGCACGCACGCACAGGCACACACATACACACAATTTGAGTGATCAATGTAAATGTAGTGACATTATGAAAAAAAGTTGAATCTGACAAAAAACTTTTTTTTTTTCATACTACGCAGATTGTGCGAAAACTTAGTGTAGCCTTAATTCACATATTAACGCTCGACGCTTGTGGAGATCTGGCTGCCCTTTCCCGCGCTGACCCTTCGGGCTCCAAATTCCAGTCACTTTAAGCTTCGGCAAATTCAGGGCCCCTTTAAGCTTCGGCACAAGCTTAAAGGGGCCCTGCAATGATATTTAAGCGTCTACTTTTTTTGCGGTTTCCACGTCTCTTGGGGTTCGGGCAAGCCAGCGGGCACGGAGAGAGTAACTAAATATCAGTGCGTCATATTTTAACCGGACGACGCGGAAACCTCCTCCACCGACGAGGGCGACCCGCGGTACCGAAAGCGCGCAAAATGTGACGTCTTTGGTCCTGGCCTTACACTGGTCAGAGCCGCTGAAAGCTTCTTTTTAGTCGAGATACAAAATATGAGTGGCGCCAACCGTTTCAAATATTTATAAAAGTAGTTTTTGTTCAGTAGTTTAGATCAGAAAAGAAAAGAATGCAGTTTATAAAGTGCGGAAACAAGAAATGACTCCACTTTTTAGACCACCTGAGACTGGGTGGAAGAAACACGACGACGTCTCAGACGTTGTCGTGATTCTTCCACCCAGTCTCAGGTGGTCTAAAAAATGGTAAACTTACACCAGCTCGCCTGCGCCCTAACTGTTTTTTTAAGAAATGACTCGTCGACATACCCGCCACCAAGCGGTGGAAAAGGCGGCGCATATTAGAAAGGAGTAATGGGATCAGGCGCCAACACGGAAAGGTCCCGGATGTACGCTGCGGCACTGCGGTCGAATGGATAAGAGTATGGACTTAATTTTGAGTGGGGCGGGGGACAAACCAGACCCCCCCCCCCCCCCAGGGCCGGTGGGCGGTGCCCTTGGTATCCCTTGGGCGCCGCCGGCCAGTGCTTGACTTCCCAGTGGCGGCTGTTCCAGGGGGGGGGGGGGGGGGGGGGAAGGAGGGGGGGCAAAACACATGCCTTGCCCCCCCAACTCTGAAGACTGGGGGGGGGGGGGGGCAAGCGCCCCCCCCCCCCTCAGTCCTCAGAGGCATTATCTAAGGGGGGAATGTACATAAACCTCCAGCTAAATGTCACGGACGACGAGGTGAAACAAAAAAAATAACTGGGGAAACTGAAACGTTTAATGGGGCGAACTTGTGCCCAAAAAATAAGAAAATAAAACCGAAGATAACAGCAGAGCGTCCCGGCCGTCGAAGTCGGCGTAACAGCAGAGTCGAACGCTGGGGCAAGACTGACTCCGCTCGCCATGCAGAGTCCTTTATGTACCCTCGTGGGTTTCTGGAACCTTCGGCGTGGAACTTTCGGCGCGTAGAACATTCGGAACTAGATCAGACGACAATGTTCTCGAACTTACGAGAACGCCTAATTGAAAGAATAAATAAAAGGACATTTCCAGTGGCTGGAATCGAACCTAGACCTACCGCGTGACAGTCAAGCGCGCTAACCATTCGGCCACGCACGCACGCGCTCGCTCGGCCACGCGCGTAACAATGTTTAATCTAAGTAGTTAAAACGCGATTCGTTGCGGAATACACGAGATTACAAAACCACACCCTTGCATATAAAAAAAAAATAAAAATAAGAAAAAAGGTTAATAAAATAATAAAAAATAGCTTGACGAGAGTTAAGAGGGTCAGTGGTGGTAACAATGTCGCCAGGAAGGCCGTTCCAGTCCAGAATGGCTGAAGAAAATAAATGGCGAGAAAATGAAACTGAAGTGCAATTAATCGGGGCAGTCTTACAAGAGTAATCGAGACGAGCATGGAGGGGCCCAAAAGGAATTCTCGGGAAGAGGGGAGTTCCTCCTTTCCCTCTTCTCTCGTCGTGGCCGGAGGCGAGACAATAACCGTCACTGCCTCTCAAGGTTCCTAGATGGGCATTACAAACGAGGCGTTAGCGACATCCACCAGGTGCTCTTTGCTAATCGTTTAACTCGTTTTAAAATTCCTTTTCTTAACTTTCTTAACAAGATATTGGTAGTCCGACGTGATACCGCTCGTTTGAACACATATAGACCATAAAATAAGCGCCGAAATTTCGTTGTAGTATCCCTTTAAGTTAAGATTACACAAATAATATTCCACATTTCGCGAATCCGAAGACGTAGAGCAGTTTAGTAGTGCTTTGTGAAATGGAATCACATGTAAGCCTAATTGTTTCGGAATTCAGCGGAGTTGCCCTTGAAGAAAAAATAACATATAAATATATCGAAAGATTAATTGGGATATACAGGGTGTCACAAAAGAAAATTTACACGGTCTTTTTTACCGCAAAAATAAACTAGGCATCGCCCAAAGGTAGAGCTAGAGGTCACAACCAGATGCCAAAGTTTTGGAGCCCATTTTTGCCCGTTTTCGGTTTCTGGTGCCATAGAGCCCCATGTGTTTGAGAACTCCGTCGGCCGCCATTTTCCCATTGAAATTTTCAGAAAATAACTTATAACTTTTGATTAAGTTATCGGATCGGGCTGAAACTTTGGCATCTGGTTGTGATTTCTAGCTCTACCTTTGGGCGGAGAATGAGCGTTCGGCGATGCCTAGTTTATTTTTCCGGTAAAAAAGACCGTGTAAATTTTCTTTCGTGACACCCTGTAGGTATAAGGTTGGTTTGGCACTTTTTTTACATCAAGGCCACTGTCCGCCAGTGCTACATGTACTCACCTGACTCACTGTTTTTTTTATCCAGTTCTTTCGCGCTGTGGGGTCTTGCGGAAATTTGAACTGCGAGAATCTTTCTCCACGCGATAGCTACTAACAACCCGGTACGAAGCACCCTCCCATAGCGCGAGTCTGCGAACAATATTTGGGATCTCAACCGATCGCCTGAAGTGCTTTTCTCGCGGGTGCAATGCGATCTTTTAGCAGACGATCATCTCGATCGACGCCCGGACTTTCGATAAACCATATTTTGCATCGAACCCCACTATGAATTCTTATAAGTGTCTGAAACTCATTATATTTCAAACAAATGCAATATCAGGATATCGTCTTTATTCACACGATTCAAACAACGGCGCCGGCTTGGCCGGCCGGAGTGTGGCAGACGGCACACTTCTTGTATTCGTCGTCTGCTGCTGGAATCTTGAGGACCGGAAGTTGCAGTCGTAAACATTTCAGAAACAGGCGATTACCGACACACTTCTGTCGAAACATATGACACTGAAGCTTTCTTTATCTGTGATTTTTAGAAGTTTAAATCCTACTTCTGATTTTTGAACGGTCGGGTTTCCGTAGCGAAACCTAGCCACATGTATTTGACCATAACAACGATTCTAGCAACGGTTTCTTACGGAGTCACGAAAATATTATTACAACAACAAACAGGAAGGTAGAAGATGGGTGGAAAAGGTCCAGAGAAGTGTGATATTACACGAACTTCGGGATTTATGCTTATTAACAAGGAACAGAATTTAGTGAAAAAATTTTTAAACTGATAAAAACTAGGCCAGGCGGCGCAAGCTGCCGCCCATTACAAAGGGAACAGCCAATGTTCATTTTTTTATCCATCCATCTATCCGACTTCCAAGCGCGCCAAATCAACGTTGCGCCAAACCACGCTTGTCACACTGCCATCCGCTATCAGTACGTTTAGGTACTTTCATCTGCTTAGAAAGCAATTTTCATGTCATGCCAAATGTTTGTATCGTCACAACGTGCCGCAACCAAACGATGAAGGCTGTGCGAAAGGTACGAAAGAGGCTGCGGTTTTTTGCATTGCCTGTGGAGGAGCCACGCAGAAGCGCATGGTTACGTTTCGCTGGGCGAGAAGACACCAAAAACCTGCCCCACACACCCCGTTTCTGTGCCGAACATTTCGAGCTACGTGCGTACCTAGGCAATGACCCGCGTACTTCACGTCTTCGTTGGAATGCTCAGCCGACGCTTCTCCCCGCCGTCGACGAGACTCTTGCATCTCCGCCAAAGCGCCGAAGAAACCAGGTGAGTGTTTCGTCAATTCAATGATTTTTAGGAGCATCGCGTTGCGGGATGGCTTGGCATGCTCTCTTGGCCTAGAGCACTATATAGCTCCTTCGGAGCAGAGTAGCGCAATCTAGAACGCCGTCTCTCGGCGACTAGCGGCGAACGCCCGGAGGTTCCAACTGCGGTCAGAAATGCATGGAGAACGTGAGAAAATCGTTGTTTCTTCAGTTTTGTGGGGATGTACGGAATGGCAATCATTTTTGACATAATAATGAAACATTTTAGAATAATTTGCGATAAGTTTTGTGCCATGCAAGGACGTAACTTTTTTTTAAAAATTGCCTGAGCGGCATCATGCAGCAGACGACACGGCGACGTCACACCATTCACGTGACCCGCTCCGGCCAACCCGAAAAGCCCATCTCCGCTGCGAGCAAAAATCGTCTGCTTCAAACGCCATTGCCCTGGAAATTGCCTTCTCAAAATTTGCACACGCATCCGATATTATTAAAACTTTGATAAAGTGTTTAGCGCCTTACTAACTTCACGACAGGCTAGTTTTGAAAAGTGTGAACTCGCCGTTATTTTTTTAATCAGCCGTGTTATGTCGATCTCCATGTATTCTCCCATAGGGCGGGCCGCCTCTTGGAACCCTGAGTACCACGTGACTCGCGCCTAGCTGCTCTGTCGGCCATGTTGTCGGCGAAACACGGGGTTCAAAGGATTGCGCTACTCTGCTCCGTAGGAGCTATATAGTGCTCTATCTTGGCCAACCAGAAGCCGAAAAGATTCCCCTAGCGGTGGTAGCGAGAAACAAATTTGGTCGTTTTAATAAGCG